ATTGTAAGATCTCTAGCACAAGAATTTTCGACGGGAATCTCTAAACCTTGCCTTTGTTGTCAACTATTCCTTATTTCTTCAACTCCATTGTCTAGCTGGAAAATCAGAGTTTTATTGAAACTCCTCATTAAGAAAATATTAGTGCAGTGGTCTCAAAAAAGTCTAGCTTTTACACAGATCTTTTTTGATGTGAGTCTACAGTATGCTTGCAATATGAGCGACTAGGCGTCCATCGGCGTTCCTCCGGAGCGCCAATCATGGCTAGTCGCTCCTGTTACACTAATGCACTAAAGCAATAGTTATTTTTTACCCATTTTACATAAAAGATATCATCTCATTTACATACATCTTTTTATATTACTTTCTTCGGTTTGTAGCAGCTAAAAATTCCACGAGTCAGAACTCCTGAAAACATATACAAGGTTAAAAATACAATTTCTTCATCATAATAACACATTACAATTTATTGGCACGTCCCAGTTTAAGAACCTCACCTATCTATGCATACATTGCCTCAGATTATAGATTTAACCATATGAAAGAACGGTGATAGATACGCTCGCAAAATCGATCCTGTTTGAAAATTATAAGAAAATCCAGCTAATTTTTATCCCTTTTCTCCATCGTTTCAAAAGACACCGACGCCATTCTTTGTACATAGATGGCTTATACTATGCTTTTAAAAGCTGCAAAGATACGGAGATTTGAAATGCTTGGGGAGCACCTCTTAATAAAATCACAATGGTATTTCTATACCAAACATATAGGGTTTCAAGGTACAAATCACTTCGAGCTCTTTGAGATTTGAAAGATGCTGTCAAAGCATTTCCAATTTGCGTGTCTTTGCAATTTTTGAAGGCATACTAAGAGCTATCTATGCACAAAAAATGGCTCCGGTCTCTGATCGAATAATAGAGAGAATGAGTACAAATTAGCGAAGCTTTCTTATAATTATCAAACAGGACCGATTCCAGTAACATATTCATCCCTATCCTTTCCATTTAATTCATGAATAGCCAAAAATACTCCATGATAACGACAAAAAGTCAATTAATTCATAACTATTTATCATAAAATTGAAAAAAATCGCGCTATTCACTATCACTTTCTTCTGTTTCATACGTTTAGACACAATCTAAAGCCAACATATAGTGTATTAGCTAATAATATAGTTAACAAAATACAGTTTCTAAACCAACAAGGACACATACCAACGAAAAAATTCATTTTATTTCATTTAATTTTGCTTCTGACAGAGTGAATATAAATTCTTTGAGTCATGCTTTCCGTCTAATGTACTGTTCAGATGTTGTGTCTGTATAGAAAAACTGTTTTCATACTTAACTTGAAAATAGTTCTTAGTTTTCTGCCACTTCTGGTCCTATTGAAACCAATCAGATCTAGACCGTTGACATTTTGGGTGTGGGTGTGGGCGTGGGTGGGTGTGGGTGTGGATGTGGGTGGGTGTGGGTGTGGGTGTGGGTGTGGGTGTGGGTGTGTGGATGTGGGTGTGGGTGTGGGTGTGTGGGTGTGGTTGTGTGGGTGTGGGTGTGGGTGTGGGTGGGTGTGGGTATGAGTGTGACGAGAATATATCCCCACCCACACCCACACCCACATTCACCCACACCCACCCTCCACTCTATTCTAGAAACTAATGCGTAGCTCTGCACGATGATAACTAACTGAATTATAGATCAATCATTACAAAATCAAGTTTTTATGGTGGATTTAGGGTCATCTGCTCTAGAGCAGATATTTATTATGAGCCTGTCTTTTAACGAGCATCTTATTACCGCACTATTTTTTTATGATAACGCAGAACCTGCCTGTGTATAAACTTTTCAATGAAAACGAAAATTATCAACGCATGGTCAATCGAGAAAAGAAAAAGAACGTGTTCTTACGAGTGAAAAGATATGCGGCTTAACGCTCTTTTCCCTCCACAAATCCTATGTAGGATGGGCCGCGGTTTACATGGAATGACTCATAAATCATCAAGTGATTGTAGAGTAAGGCTGAGGGTGAGGGTGATTGACTTCTTGTGCGATGATACGTATAGTGCACAAATGCCTCGTTTGTATTGTATATAATACCGATTTTGCACTGACATAAACTGTGACAGTTATATTTTCTGAGCGACCTGTATTTGAATGAGCAGGCACAAGAAACCGGAGCTTTTGGCATTTAGTTGTCTCGCACATGCTGGTACGAGAAAAAAAATTTGCAAAAATTTTTTCGAACTTTTCAGATAATTCTTTTTTGGGATATGTTAATCAGTTGCTGTGTCGATTGATTGTTCGCTAATACGATTAGTAGCTGCGAATCTTCACAACGTATGTTGTTTGTTTCGTTTTCGAAGCTCTGAAAATATGTTTCTTGATAAGAACCTAAAACGAGACAAATTTTTCTTGCCACAGTTCGCTTCGCTTCGAAAGTCGTTTTCTTCGCCTCGCACTTGAAAAAAAGTCGCTTTCAATAAAATTTTCAAAGTGTACTTTTGATATAACGAAGGCGGAGTAGAGTTGTCTGCGTCAGGATTCTAATATATCATTGGCACGTCTTATTCTATAACAAAACTTTTTTATATGCGTCATTACTTGTTGACTATTGATTTAATCAATATTGTTTTACACGTGATCATTGCATCAAATATCAAATGGAATCAAAAAATTATTTGAACGTGATTCTTCTCTCTTCACAGATACATTTATGTGTGAGGTAGATTGTGACAATGAGATAGTTCGAAGATGTTGACGCTAATAGGAACGACTTTTATCTTGATCTTTACCGTTATATATGGACACGTTAGAATTTATAATACTGAAAATAAACAAGCAGTTGAGAAATTTGATTGTGTCTATTATATATACAACGATGGAGAGGAAATTCCATACTGTCGGCGTCCAGATCAAACTCAATCACTCGATCGAAATCGAAGTGAATGTGACAACCAAGGGGAGAAAAAATTTTTCCATGATCTAATCGATCAACAAATTGATCCAAACGATGTTCTGAAATGGAGCTCCAGTGTCGAGATGGCCGATCTTTATGCTAGTCTTTTTTTAAGTCGATCGTCGGTGCACCGCAATGATGATCGATTCTTGTGCAACTGCACACAACCGGGAACATTCGGCAAATATTGTGAATATCAGTTGACGCACAATGCAAAATCATTCAGTCAAGCGATGAAAGCTCAGTTTCAACAGAAAAAAGATGGAGATTCATGGGATACTCAACGACACGGAAAGATTCTCTGCTATGAAACATTGTCTTGTCTCTCGGGTCCTCTCTGTCTCGATTGGAGGGAGATCTGTGATGGTATTCAGAGGTGTGTCAATGGTATCGACGAAGAAAATAGAGACAAATTAGAATTCAACGAATGTGAGGACGAGGAATTTCGATGCACAAATGGAATGTGCATTGCGGAAGAGTTCTGGCTCGATGGTGAGTGTGATTGATACTGAAAAACTTCTATAGCATGGATTATTTTGATAGGTGATGTCGATTGTATGGATTGGAGCGATGAATATCATCATGAGTTGGGACAATCATGTCCGTTCGAACCGAACGCAATGAAATGTGACGAACATATATGTTTTCGCGATATGTATTCATGCGGTGACGGACAACGTATTGAATAGGACACTCGAATGGCATTTCAACGATTGACGGAAGCCGAAGATGACTGTGCCAATAAGCGAAATCTGTATTACATGTGTGAGTTGAGTCCACATAAACCTGCTTGGACACTGGAAAATGGATTATGTTGGCCGGACAGAGATTACGACGATCCTCGATATCTTCCGTGGAGCATGATTAATGCGTCACAGCTAACAAACGAGGAACAATGTCAGTATCTATTTCGGTGTGTTTTGTCGAAAGATTTTGAGCATGATTGTCCATGTAATCATCGAAATTGCACACGAATTATGATGAATGTGTGTGAAAGGTACAACCACATCGTTCTTTATCCGCCAGAAGGGTTAATCAATTCAAATTTTTTCGTCCTCTATGACTACAGTAAACCGATGGAAGATTCTCATTTTCAGCATTTCATGTTCAATGGTGGCATTAGATGCCGAGGATATTATTATGACGGCAAATTTGGTATCGCACTGACGGATCATCATCAGGCGATTCTATCTAGAGATATCAATCACTTACTTTGTACTAAGGACCATTCTTTTCATCCTCATAGGAATTTTTCTTCGTCTTTTCGAAATGATGCATTCTGTTGGAATGACTCGTTAACGTTTAATGGTAGCCCATACGCTGTCAATCCTGACATTTGTAAATATGCAGGAGAATGCATTTCCCAATATCGAATTCATGATGGAATACGTGACTGTTATGACAATGATGATGAACTTATGACCCTTGAGAAGAGTTATTGCACGGGAAACGTCGGACGACAACGTTTTCAGTGTTTTAATGATCAACACAAATGTTTCGGACTAGCAGTGCTAGGCACATAGACAGCTGAGTGTTCGAACAATTATGATGAAAGTTGGTTTGGAATTGGTGCTGCTTTTCGCACTCAGATATCATGTTTTCAAGATATCTCAACCAAAGATTGTTACCTTATCAAAGGATACGTTCAACAATCGTCGAATAAGAATTCATCCAACAATAGTTCGTTCGTTGATCGTCAACGACAAGAGCAAACAGATCGCATGCGCTTTCGTTCGTATTGTGATAGCTTCTGGGATATGGACAATCATATTGATGAATTGAATTATTCATGTCAACATTGGATCTGTCCAAATCATCAATATCGATGTCGAACAGGACAGTGTATTGATCTCGATTGGGTTTATGATGGTGAATGGGATTGTACAGATGCATCGGATGAAGAAGCTTTTGTACTCATTAATCAGTGGTCAAGTCACAATGCTCGCCTGTCAAACTTATCTTCTCAGCTTGAAAATTGTCGTAGACGACATTCTCAATATCCATTTTCTCGAATTTGCAACACATCTTTTGAATTCGGTTGTTATCGATCTCGAGTATCAAACCCATTGGATATTAAAACGAATCGTCCATGTATCAATCTCACTCAGATTGGTGATGGAGTGGAAGACTGCTTCAATTCCTATGACGAGAAAAATACATTTACCGCAATTATAGGAGCTACAAAAATGAAAGGCATG